GGGCCAGCAGCACCCACGCAGATGCAGATTTTCATAGTGGTTTATTAGGACTCCGTCTTCCCCCCTCACCGCCAATGTCTGCCTATACCGCAGATGCTATCCCTTCGCCCAGACCAAGCAGCCCAGCAGGAGCACAGGTGACCAAACCCCTACTCATCTCATGACAGAGGGTCCATACCCAGTAAGTAGGAGTAGCGGGGGCACAGGGATGCCAGAGCAGTCAGAACAACACAGCCCGGGGGGACGGAGGAGAGGGACAACCCAGGGCTCCTCCAGGAGCCACCAGGGATAGATCCATTTTTAAAACTAGAAATTCCAGGTCCTGGCTTTTCCCGCCCCAGCTAGAGGAGAGGCTGCACATCCACCCGGGAGGGAGGGAGGGAGGGAGGGGAAGAAAGGCCACCCTTATTGCTAGGGACACCAGGGAGCACAGCTCAGCTCAGGGCCCAAGGTGACAGACAGACAGCAAGCAACACTACCCCACACTTATTGGGCCCCACACCCCACCAGAGCTCTCTGTTCTGCCAGGCAGTTCACGCACCCTGGCAGCATACCTGGCCCTCCACGTGCTGCACGGCCAAGGCCAGGGCCTGAGACAGGGAGGGGGGCACATCCAGAACAGGCAAAGAGAGTCCAGCTGAGATCAGGTCCTCTCAGCTGGAGAGCCAGCCAGGCTACAGCCCGTGTTCATGGACAGTCCTCCTCGCCTGGCCTGCCTAGGGATGCTCACACAAACTGTGACAGGTTGGGCACTTTGATGTTGATGTCTCCGATGTTAATGTTGCGAGGGATCTCTGGCAGGTTGATGTTCTTCACAGCTGAGACAGCGCGGGAAGGAGCTGCCGAGAGGCCTCCCTGGTGAGGAGAGCAGAGAGGGGAACACCGTGATTGCCAGCCCTTTGTAAGCTCCAAAGACTCCCAGGGCTTAGAAGGCTCCAGGCTGATCCTCCGGCTCAGCCTTGTGCTTTGCCAAGGGAGCATTCCCAGTCCGAGTCTCCAGCTCTCCCAGCACTGCGCTGCCGCTCGCAAGCGCCCAGGGCCTGGCCACATCCCCAGCATGCAGCCAGGCCCAGCTCAACCCCAGCAGCCAGCCAGGCACCCCTACTTCAGCAGAGGAGCCTGCATTTCCACCGCCTGCCTGATCAATAGTCCCAACTGTGTTAATAGCATACTACTGGGAGAGGCAAGGACATCCAAGCACTTCCCTCTCCTGCTATCAGGGCACAACTGCCTCCTCACAATGCCCTGCAAACAGGGGCAATAAACACTTTTCACTACCTCACTTCACTAATCTTGATGGAAACAGTGATTTCCACACTCTGACTGCTCCCTATACACCTGAAGCAAGGTGTGCAGCCGAATGAGGGATGCCCTGAACGCTCTCTTCAGGGCTCGCAAGGGCAGAACCCAGGCATGCTGGGAACAACCCATATACACAAGCTCCTCTCCCCCACACACTCCAGACCACACACCCTGCCCCTCCTCGTCAGTCTGGAGCACATCAGACCTATGCACCACGGACGTCCCAGGGAACATTTTGCCCCTCCGGTCAACCGGCACTGCATACCCCAGCACATCGCACCAAATCCTCCCAAACCCCCATGCTGTCCTCCCCTGCAGGTCACACCAGGGAGAGCCACGGCATTACCACTCACCTCTGCCTTCTCCAGCTTGCTCTGGGCCTCTGCCTGTGCCACGATCTCATTCATGTTGGTCTCCAGCACCATGCCACCTATCACCACCTCCTGCAGGATGTAGTGAACCTACGAGGCAAGGGAAGACCGTGAACCCAGTCCAGGTTCATGGGCATGCTGGAAATTGCAGGGGCCGCAGCCCCTGCAGGCTGGCAGGGATGAAAACCTTTGGGACAACCAGATTCAGGACAAAGCAGCGGGCACTGCAGTGTGGAGCGCTGGCCAGAGACCCCATCTCTGCCTAGGCACTGCGCCTTGGCCAGACTGAATGACTTGCTGGCCAGGAAGACCAGACATCTTGGGTTTCGGCACCCACTGCAAGGTGAATTAGCCCACTTACTCAAGTGTGGAAGCAGTGCTGGGGGCTGATGTTTCCCGGAGACATGCATATCCAGCCCCTTACTCATCTCAGCCAGAAAGCGCAGCAAACACAGCTCTGGCAGCTGGCTGCCTATCTGACCCTTGCCCTGGACCCTCAGTGACAGTCCAGGAAGCCAGATATACTGCTTGTACTTCTGCTTTAGAGAAGAATGACCAAAGAGACTGGAGTAAATGTTGCCCATCAGACCATTATGCAAAACAGCCCCAAGGGAGGCCAGGTCTGGCCCTGTCCCACTGACACACCCTGGTTGCAATATCCCTGATGGCGGCACTGAAGTTTGATCCCTCTCTGCAGCAGAAGACCTCTCTAGGACAAGGGCACAGTTCATCCCAGGGAACAACTAGAAAGCGCACATGAGAACAGTGGCCTCAAGGCACTGGGATCTGGACACTTCACAGAGCAGCAGTGATCTGAGAGCCTCCCTGGTGCCACCAGTCAGCATACTTTTTCTCACACCTTCTACCTATCCTCCTTTCCCTCTCCTTCTTCTATCTCCAAAGCCAGGCCAGAGACAAAGTGCCTGATTTTGTTACTTTCGCTTAGAATAGCTAGGACTGTGATACGCGCGTGCACACACACACACACACACACACACACACACAGGGAAAGGACACAACTGTTAAGAGAGTCTCCTTCCTGCTCCAGGGGCCAAGGATGAAACAGAGTTGTCCCAAAGGAGAGAGCTGCTACCTCCTGCCAGCCCCAGCCAGAAAGGGAACCAGCAATACACTGCAACCACAGCATTAGACAAGGCCTGTCTTGGCTGGCAACCCCAGAAAAAAGAATACAGGATCACAGGTGGGCTGGGCCATGCTGTGCTGCTGTGACACACCTTCAGTTACACCATCCAGCACAGTACAGACTTCCTTGCTAAGTCAGCAGTCTCCAACAGCAACCCAGCACAGATAATGAATTTATGGGTCTCTGCTTACTTCCGTGAAATAGGCTATTACTGAAAGATGGTTAAGTTATTATCTTGTTTTATGGTTTCATGAGGGTTGATTGCACTTGCAAACATGGTGAGGCAAATACTTGCAGGGCAACGCTGTGAAAAATAAACCACGCTAGAGAACCTACCAGAAGGAGAAAATCCAGCTTTGCCCAGCTATAAGCCCGATGCCCCGGTAATGCTTCTCCACGGGTCTTGCCCTGCCCTGACAGTGCCAGGAGCATCAAGGTGTGCTGTGATCAGTCTTTCAACAGTGCTGCACAGGGAAAGCCAGTTGCCATACATTCCCTTTCTGGGTCAGCCATAATAACCCGATTGCCTCCAAGCACCACAGCACAGTAATTGCTCTCCCACAGCACCAGTGTCCACCAACGTCCAGCCCTGCAAACACGCCACAAGACGATACTAGCAGCTCTCCGCAACAGGAGAGCATCTGGGCTGCAGGAAATGTTGTTCCTTCAAGATCTGGCTTCAGTCCAAATTGGACCAAAACCAACAGGGCAGAAATTCCAAGAAAGCTTTGTTTTCAGAAACGAAACACAGCGCTTCCTGAACAAAACGTGTCCTTTCTGGGACCTTGCAGCTGCTTAGCAAAACTCACGTTCTCATCCAAGGCATGAAGCACAACTAGGGTCTGTACAACAGGACCATGCCATCATGCAGCCTGTTCTGAGTCTCTCCACGACTTCCACAGCTCCAGCCTCTCCTTGTGAAAGAAGGATCCCTGCAGCTTCATGGTTCCTGCTTCCAAAGCTGACAGCATAAGAGTACCTGTGCCACTGGCTGCCTGTGAACCACAAACTCGACAGCCCCATTCAGCTGCCTGCTGCAAGACCAGGGACCAGAAACCTGCAGAAGCTCTCATTTCATGGATTTCATGCTGCCGCCTCACAGGGTCCAGGCAAGGCTGCACCCAAATCCTAGCCGGAACCTGCTGGGCTTGAGATATTAACAGCCAAAGGCTCAGCTCAACCAGTGAGCATTTTCCAGTGGACGTTGGTTTACTTTCTCCCCTGTTCTAGTCAGGAACTCACAAACTTTGTAATCAATCAGTCAGAGCGGAAGGTAGCGCCATGCCCAACCTTTCCTGCACAGCCTTTGACAAACTGAAGTCTGGAGGCAGGGGGCCTGTGAGAGGCGTTCTGTCCGGACATCAGAGGGGCAAGACATGGAAACCAGCACAATGTACCTGCATATTCTCAGCGCTCCCAACAGTGCAAGCCTGTAACCTAGCAGCTGGAACCACTGGCAGTCAGCAGAAACACATCCGGGAATCAAGCAAATGCTAAATATAGAAAGATAGATTAAGTCCAAACAGGAGGACCAACTGATAGCGGCCAAGGACTGAAGTCAAGGCTGGGAAACAAAAGGAACACAGAACCGGAAATAAACAAACCTAACTAGTATGAGAGCCTTGGGGCTGACTGAGCCTAGTATTTCCCCTGTAAGAAATTCTTCCTGATTTCTGTCTCCTTTGAATCCTTAGCTTGTCAAGAAAGTTTAGAGGAAGGACAGTTCATGCTAATGCTAGCAAAATGCACAAGCAATAGGAACAACCTCTTCTGCCTGTGGACTGCGGAATCACTGTAAAGCTGCCAGGTCTGGGTCACTCCGCAAATTGAGTAAATGAGAGTGTATCCTCCTCCAGACACTGCCACAGAAGATTTGGGTTGCTGCATCACTTCTCCCTCAGGTACTCCTCACCGATTTCCTCTCTCGTCTCCCTCTCCTTTTGTTTGCTTTGATAAAGAGTGTTTTTTGCTGACAACACAATCAACCTTGTAAACCTTCTGCAAGTTTACAACCAAGCAAACTATAAAGTCAAAATCTTAACCAGTTGTTAGCACATTCAGCTGCTCCAGAGCATCTTCTAAGAATATCTGCTAACTCTATTTCTCTGCCAGAGAATTTATAAATAAGAACCACCAACAGAAAGGGAACGTTTTACAGCTTTACTGATCTTTTCACTCCTCCTCTTTGTTGTTATGTTTTGTCTTCAGCAAAGCAGGAACAACTTTTATCAGCAGTAACACAAGCCCAGGACACATCAGCTAACTCTCTCCTATCCCTAAGGATAATCCCTGCTATCTTCAGTTGCATCTAGAAGATGATCAAAGAGAATAGGTTCCCACCCAGAAACTCTGACCAGCTAAAGAGGAAGCATTAAAGGTTGTGGCTCAAACGAAAGTTTACCAAACACTTTGTATTCCAAATACTCCCATTGTTTTTTCCCTTGTTTTCTCCAGCTCTAATGAAATGTTAACAAGACTCCAAATAGTGTCCTACAGCGCAGTAAGAAGAGGTAAAATGCCTATATACAAAATCAGATCCTGTTTAATTCCATCAGTGCTGACCACTGTGCAAGAGGTGGAGAGTGAAGCCTCAGCATGGATCCCTGTCACATGAACACGTGAACACCCAGCACGTCTAGGGCAGTTATCAGAACCAACCCATATCCACAAACCGATTGCTTTGTTGTAGCAGAGATCACAGCACCACAACAGCAACGCAGCAGGGAACTGGGGCAAGTGCTTTGAACCTAAAGCCAGCTTACACACGGAGGACTCAGAACGCAGCCAAGCAACTCGGATCGTTTACCAGGAGGACATGGCACGAGCAGCTTATAAAGAACACATACTGATAATCTTCCCAGTCAGAATTTTGATCTCCCTCAGGGAAGAACCTAGCTATAGGCTCTCCTGAAACGCTCAAGAGCTTGGAGCGAAGCCTGCTTCTGGGCTCAGGAATGTACGTGCTAGAGAAGGCAGAGCTCAAAAGCAGCAAGATGCCGGGATGAAACAAAAGGTGGTGGCCTAGAGGAGCGCGCAGAAGCCTAGAACCCACCTTGTCCATGTGAAAGATGAGGTCCAACTCACAGACATTCTCAAAGCACTTGTCCAGTGTCTCCACAAACACCTGAGACAGGAGGAAAGGAAGGTCAGGACAGAACAAGCAAGACATTTCCCGCACACAGCACCAGTGCTTGCACATGCAAAAGGCTACAGCCCTGGCCAAAAACTGTCAGATCGCTCACTGCATCCCAGGCTTTTACCCTGAACAGGAACAAATTCCTCTTCAAAACCCCACCTACTTTCAGTGCTAGTGAAGTGCCTATTCCCAGGGCAACCACACATAGGCTCAGCCCCAGGAAGCTGGTCAGGACCCTGGCTCCAGGAAAGGAGCAGCATCCAGGGGTGGTGTGGAGGATTGGGGGTGTGCACAGAGCAGGCTGAGGGGGTTAGGCAGAGCTGCGAGCAGGATACGCGCAGCGAGCAGCCAAACAAGGAGGCCTCTTTCCGCACAGGCACTGCCCAATAGTGCTGGGACGACCAGACACGCTCTTAGTGCCAGCCCGCACTAAACCACAGAAACCAAATCAAAAAGCCCACATCAGCTCCAGACCCTAGGAGAAAGTTTGTCTTGGCAAGAGGCATGTGGCTGGAACATAAGCCTGGCCCTGGCTGAGCCTGCTGTGAACGGACTGCACAGCTGGTGTAATACCAGCAAACTCGGAGGGCTCCTCCTCCAGCAGTGGGTCACGCTTCCTCTGAACTGTTACTTCTACCCAGTTGCTATTGTCTTCAGTTGTTCCTGGTACTACCCAGGGCAACCGGAACCTCCAATTTCAAGGATGTGGTTTGAACCCAAGTCCAAAGAGCCTGGCACAGGGTAAAGCACACTGAAACACGGAACTTGGCCGTTCTGGGGGAAAAAAACAGGTGCCAACGTTCTGATAAACTGCAGTCACAGGGCCCTGACTGGGACAATGGCTAGTCATTGTGTTCTTCCACAAGGGCCAGGCTTGCAGTCATCTAGAACAGCTTGAAAGGGTTGAAATATGGGAACTACATGATCACAGCAGGTGATCCGAGCAGGGCATGAGCCCTCTTGGAATCAGGAAGGACAACTGAGAGATGTTGGATATGTTACAGTAGGACACATGAACAGGACAAGCGTGAAACGCTCTACAGTTGGGAACTCTTCTCCACAGACAATTCCCAGCTGGGAAAACTTCATTTCTAGCTTAGGATCTTTGAAAAAAAAAAAAAAGCTAGAAAAGGTGATTTAAATGGTAACTGCCATGGAGCTACTTTCCAGAGTTTGATAAGAGTGTGGAAGATGACTCCAAAAGGAAAAGCCTGCTCCAATGGGACAAAATATTAACTCTGTCACGTGCTGGTGTGGCTTCAAACTTAAAAGGGAAGAAAGAGGAACTTGTAAAAAAAAAAAAAAAAAAAATCAGAGACTGATCTGCAGAGGAATACTCTCAAAACTCATCAAAAGTAACCAAAGGCATAATTCTAACATTAACTAAACTGCATTAAACTGCTATGCAGACACTCTCACATGTGCCTTTAATTGGATTTAGCAGAGGTCCCTTTAGAAGCCCACATAGTGATTGAATAAAATTTTTAAAAATTCACTTTTTAATAAGTTTATTCAGACTTTCCCCAGCGTTTCCCTGCAGACAAGTTTTGAGTTATGTATCAGCTAACACATGTCAAGCAACACCCTCCCCTGTCTGAGCTCACAAGAGAACAGTTTCTCAATCACTCCCAGGAAGCTGTTATAGACATGTAAATGCATCTGGAAGGTTTAGAAGGCTGGACCTTCTGGCAGTAGAGGAAAGCACCCAGCAGCCTCTCATGGCTAAGCACTTTGTCAGAGCTCCTGGTACTACTAAGGTGGAGCACGCAGAGGGCACAGGATACCTCACATCAGTGGCATACTGCTGATGCAAGGCTCTCCAGGGGCTCTCGCTTCTAATACCTTCCCTTTTAACATTGACATCCCCTCCAGACTCCTGGATTCAGGGATGTCTCCTGCACTGTCCACAACTGCACCCAGCAGGGGCTCAGCAAGGGCCCTGGCAAGGGACACGCTCTTGAAACATGATGTCTAGCCCCTTTCACACTCATTTCAACCAGCCTGGAAGGGAGGGTCTGTAACAGGATATGCAGGAGGGACTCACAACCTACACTGTCCTGCTGCTGGCAGAGCAAGCGTCTGCATCTCAGCACATCCAGCTGCTCTGGGGAGTGTCTCCGCCCAGCAGCGGCCAAAAGCTCAAGGGCAGAGAAGAAACAGCAACCCGCTGTCCTGGTGCGGGGTGGGCTCCACTGTGTGCATGCTCACTGTGGCCTCCCTCTGGCAGCAAACTTCACTCCAGAGAGACCAACCTGGATGAGGTCCAGAATGCCCAGCTCGCTCTCCGAGGAGTCCACACAGAAGACGAAGTACAGCGTAGCATAGTGGCGGTAGATCAGCTTGTAATCCGAGCCACCAAACAGGCTGCAGAGACACAAGGAAGGGCTCCAGCAGCAGGAGGGAGGACACAGCCCGGCTCCTCCCAGCCAAGGGGAACCTGCGGCACAGCTGCCCTCCAGGCAGCGAGGGGCGTGAGGGTTACCTGCCACACTCCAGGAAGTTGCAGATGTGGTCATCCCGCTTGAGGACCAGGTGGAAAGTCTCTCGGATAATTTGCTGCTGAACTTCCTCTGCCTGCAGCGAGGCAAGAGCAAAGACCCATGGGCCTGCCGTCTGGGAAGGCACAGAGCACCCACACCCCTGCTCTCCCCCACTGCTGTGGGGCCAGCAGAGCCTGAGGGACACGGTGAGCTGGCAGCTCTCAGAGCGAAGGGGAGGCCACAGCTCCCTGCAGCCCTGGCACCACGGGAGCAG